TGACTGTCTCGTTAAAACATTTTGGTTTAATTTCTAACCTTTTTCTCTTTCAAGCAACACATAATAGTTTTAGATAAGAAGAAAAACATTTATTTTTATGAGTCTGTGAATGATTTGTATTTGACATCATTTTGAAATAAGAGAATTAGGTTATTTAAGTACATTGTACAGTTGTTGTAATGCAAATTATGGAATGAAGAATTGTGTATCATGCTATCAATTCATTTGATGTTTCAGAAAAAAATATTTTCTCACAAATGCTATAGGCATAATTTTTTAACCTTTTTTCCCCCTAAGTATCTAAAAATTAAAATTTTTAAATTTTATACGCAAATAAAGTTAAGTCTTTTATCTTTATTATGATAAGTAGAATATGCATTATATTTTCCATTTTTTAGCCTATACATGAACCCTGTTTTAAAAAGTTATTAGATTAAAAGAAAAAATATAATTTATATTAATTTGATATCTATTTTCAGTTTGAAATTACAGTTGTACAACTCTGTTTTGCTAATATTTGTGTTTGACAGATATAATTCAAAATTATAATAGTCAACTAATAGAAAGTGCTCAAGTTTTGGGTCTTATTTTAAGTCTGTTACACTTTATATGTAATTCTTTGTGCTAACTCTTTCATCAAAAAAAATTATTCATATGTTAGTACTCATTGTACTAAAAGCATAATGTATGTTTAATTTATAGAGCCTTAACAAGCAGTAAGAGCTGAAGTTTTCTCTCTTCAAAAATATATTGGTGCTTATTTTAAAATAATAAATTTAGTTACATTGTAAGATAAGGTCTATGTTTGTTTAAATGTTAAAAATTGTATATGCTTATAGTTGTCTTTATAAAGCTATATTTTAAATCACATCGGTAAGAGTTAACTTTAAAAGGTAATTACAAATATTAGTAATTATAGATAAATTCATAGAAACTACTGTTTTCAAATGGTTTGTCTGTTAACATCACTCTCCAGTAGTTACACCACCACATCTATTTTCACCTCCCATATATTATTTATTCTCAGAGGAATAAGGTTCATTTTTATAATTGTTATGTAGTAAAATATTACAATAACATATTTATCAGAATCTTTGTGAAGTACTCTCATATTTAAATAGTAAAACTACATACACCTTTTTTTTTCTTCCCAAAGAAATCCAACACAAAAGCTCAGAAAAAATTAATGTTGTTTTAAAAAGAGTCTAATTAATAATCTAGGTGTCACATCGAAAGGGTCTTCCTCATGTGATCTACTGTAGAGTTTGGCGTTGGCCAGATCTTCAGAGTCATCATGAATTAAAACCTTTGGAAATCTGTGAGTTTCCTTTTTCTGCCAAACAGAAGGATGTGTGCATCAATCCATACCATTATAAAAGGATAGAAAGTCCTGGTAAGATAAGATATCAAATATCTCTTATTTATACATTAATCTTTTGTTAATGTTGGTAAACATTTGTTTAATAACTCTGAAATCTTTTTTTAACAGTGAGATTTCTGATAGTGGATAGTTTAATTTTATTCTTGATATAAATATAAATATTTGTGTGTACAAATGCCTGATCTTTTTTAACAAATTTTAATGTCTAAAAATGGTGTTTATACAGAGCTAACTTTATGCTTTCAGGTGCCTAGAATAATGTTTTTTGAATATTGTGCAATAGAGTAAAATGTTATGTACATGAATTTATATTACCCTTTACAATAAATGTAATTGTTTCTGATACAATGACATTTCTATGCACAGATTAGCTATTCTACCTTAGAGAATTGCATGCCACAAGCCTTGTGAAACTCCCACCCAGAATTCACATGAAAAATGTGGGAATTTGTGTTACTGAATGATGACGTATCATGCAGCAAAACCTTCCACCAGTAGGAGTGTGACACACCTCCTTGCACAAAGTCCTTCTCTACATTCACATGCAAAAATTTTCATTCCTTTTTTCAGCACAGTTGTGCTCAGTCTTTTTTATCCTTCCTGAGACTTGTTGAAATAAGTGCTTTAACAACTTTGTATTTTCAACCTTTCAGTACGAATTCAAAGATTAACGTGTATTCTTTTTCTGCTGATGTGAGTACAAACATCACTCACAGTCACCCATAATTTAGGAAGTTCTTGCCTGTTGATTATAATAGCCACCTTGTATTAGGTTGACAAATACAGTATGGATAACAGTAATGTAACATCATCCAATGTGTGGTGGGGTCCATGTTTGCCACCTGGATCCTCTTCTTCCACCATTGCTACACATTTCCCTTCACAGCTTTGAAGATAATGTTAAGGAGGATGAAATGAAATTTTTTTTCCACCCAGTACTTCTCTACCTACTGCATACCTCTCAACTTTTCATGTAGAAGTTACTGTTTGGTTAGTGTTTATTTTTTGTTAATATGTCACTTATAAGACTTAATATTTAGACATTATTTATTACTTCTTAACATGTCCACATATGATATATTGTTTAGAACTAGTTCATTACTTATTAATTTGTACTACTTAGAGTATAATGTTTAATTATAGCTACTCAATCCTTATCACATACCACTTAATATGTTTAGCCATAGCTCATTTCTTTCACTTGAAACAAATAGTCATGGATATTTCACTCTGGGTTATTACTCCTTAAAATGTCTAACTAGAAGGGAATGTGTACATCTTGTTCATTACTTCTTCAGATGTACTCTTGGTAGATAATGCTTAGCCTTAAGCTTATTGACATGGGTCAAAGGCCATGTCATTGTGTTTGTTGACTCATTGAAAATTTTATTCAACTACTATTTTATGAATTTATTTCAATAAGTTTCATATTAAATTGTAGATTAAAATTCAAGTTTTGGTATTTTACATTAGTTAATTTCTTAATATAAAAGTAAATATTAAAAAACACACCTAAATACAGATGTTTGTCGCATGGTATGTTGAATGCAGCATTGATTCAACTTAGGTGTTTGTGATGTTCAAATATAAAGTCCATAGTTTCTTACAAATTAGGAACTCAAATTACCAATATTGGAGAGCTAGAATATAAAATAAGCATTTCCTAGCTTTTCTATTTGATGAGATATTGCTACATTTGCTGACTCAAACACAGTGGTCCCACCCACGTCTTTCCATTTTTGGAAATACTTGCTCAGTACACCTACGTTTTTCTATGACATGTGAATAACGAATCAAAAGCTCATAATGTTCCCCTAGTGACCTTCTCAGCCTTTTTGAAATATTCCCTTTGAGGACTCCTTCATTTATGCTAGATTTCAAGCAGTAAGGTAAGACTTTAGTGAGTTCAATTTTCATAATTTTTTAGACCCAAATACAGCTTAGTTACTAAGCTTGATAAATTATTGTGGAATTTTATAGCATTCATATAATAATTTATGATTTTTGGTTTTTTCAAAATGTATATACAAAACCTGAAAAAAAATTATTTCGTTTCACATCCTCCACGTGGAAAATTTGATAAGGCTTAGCAACCTACAGCAAGCAGCAAATGAGTACATAGTTTGTAACTAGAAAGCTAATTGTTTGCTATACTTCTTTATTTGCTGTTCTGTGTTTTAAAAAAAATAAGTTTAAGAACTTATTTGTAAGTTGTAATAATGTATATACACATACAATGCATTATAACTGAAATGTGACTGTATTTTACAAAATACTAGGGCACTAAAACCCTACCGAGACAGGTCATTTTGTAATAGAGAGTTTTACATTCGTGGATATGGTAACACGAGTGCACATGTGCCGCATCATTGCAACTTCTGTAATGTTAGCCAGGCACGACTGAAAGGTCAATATAATACAAATTATGTAAATAAATGTATAATGTTATGAGAGTTAAGCTATTTAGACTAAACATTTGTGTTTTTGTGTTATAATTTGTAGTCATTCTAGAACTAAAAAAGCATAATTTACATCTATTTCCTAATTTTTATTTTTATTACGAAATTTGTTCTCGTTTGTAGCTTACTGTAGGTTGCTAAGCCTTATTAAGTTTTCCACATGGAGGACATGAAATGAAATAATTTTTTTTGGTTTTATATATACATTTGAAATAACCAAAAATTATAAATTATTATATCAATACCATAGAATTCCACTATAATTTATCCTATTTAGTAACTAAGCTGAATTTGGGTATAAAAAAAACAACAATGAAATTTTGAGTTCATAAAAAGACTCACCTTACCAACATGAAGATTTGTATCAAAAGAACATAATGATGTCATAACATATGAAAATGACTGAAAAAGCCACTAGGGGGATATTGTGAGCTTTCAATTGGTTATTCACATGTTATATACAGTAGTATGTGTATATAATGAACTGTTTCCAAAAATGGAAAAAAGTGAGCAGGGCCACTGTGTTTGATTCAGTACATGAGTGATATCTCAGCAAATAGAAAAGATAGGATGTTCTTGATTGATATTCTAGCTGTTAATATCAATAATTCTAGTTCCTAATTCATACAAAACTATAGACTGTGTATTCTGACATCACAAACAGCTAATATGAACAAGCGCTGCATTCAACATACCATTGATGTTTAGGTGTGGTTTTTTAATATTTACTTTTAAATTAAGAAATTAAATAATATATAATATTATAATTTCGATTATAATCAGCAGTTTGATACCAAACTTATTCACATAAATTCATAAAATAGTAGTTCATTAAAATTTTGAATGCAAGTCAACAAACATGATGACATGGCCTTTGACCTGTGACCCATGGTGATAGGGTTAACATGTTCTCTTAGTAGGTACTGTTTAATCATAGTAAATTACTCCTTAAGATATACACATGGTAAATGATGCGTCAGTCTAGTTCCTCTTTATCACACATACTTAGACATTCATGTTTATTTCTCTTTCATTACCTCTTAACGTGTACACATAGGAGATAATATTTCAATATTTATTATTTATACTTACTTGCATCACTTTTTTAATGATATATATAGACTTCATTCATTACTCCTTAACATGTCCACTTAATGATTAATATTTTTTTATAGTGCGAGGAGGTGAGTCATCATATTGTAAGTTAATATATTCCTTACCTGAAAATGTATTTCCAATAGATACTTACCTCCATGCACATTCCCACCTTTCCTGGTGCACTTTTTTTGTTTGCCTCATCAAAGAATGGGGATTTTTGCACATTAATGTAGAGGGAGCAATTGCATAAAGAGGTGTGTCGCACTCTTATTGATGGAAGGTTTTGCTGCATGATATTTCATCATGTAGTAGTGCAAGTTCACATATTTTCACTTGAATTTTATGTGGGAGTTTCACAAGGCAGGTAGAATGCAAATCTCTACGGCAGAATAGCATGACTTCAAGAGCTAAATAGGAAAATGTTAAATTTGATTTAGGTATTATAGTATTGTTTTCATTTATTGTGTAAGCAATAATAATGTTTATTTCAGTAGTCTAATCAAATGTTTATTTGAATGTTATGTCTTGAAGAATTACATTTAGTTAAATAATTTCTGGATTGCTTAATTTTTTTACTTCTGAGAAATAATGCTGTTGTTAAATCTGATTTTGTAGTGTTGCCACCAGTTTTGGTTCCTCGTCATAGTGAATTTCCTCCTGGACATCCTGTTGTTAGTAACTTTCAGCATGTTCCTGAACCTTCTATGCCTCATAATGTCAGTTTCTCACCTCAAGGGTTTCCATCCCCTCCTACTTCATTAAACAACATTTCTGGCCCAAGAGGAATGGGTGTTCCATCCCCAGGTTCAAACATCAGCAGCTCAGCACCTAACAGTCCTTTTGGACTTCCTGGTATTATTATTATTACAATTTAACTATTAGATTACTAACTTGTATTTTAACAAGTGTAATATCTACTGAAATATCTGATCATTTGTTCATGTTTTTACCAGAAAGATACAATGAAGCTTTATCTATAATGATGAATGTTATTGCAGAAGAACAAATATTAACAACATGAATAATATTGAAAGATTTAAAAACGCATTAGAATTAACAGACTGCCAGTTTCAAGATGCAACAAATATGATGAATGATAAATATATAATTTTCATGAATAAATTCAAAACTATATATACTTTATGCATTGCTATTAAAAATTTTAAACTTTAATAGAAGTGATAAAACACTGGTTTACAACAGCTTAAAAGACTAAAGGGATATATTTTAAAAGGAAATTGGACAAAAACAAAAAAATAGTATTAAAGAAATTTAGACTGTATTAAATCATTAAGTAAATTTAAAGACAAAATACTCAGATTAACATGATTGTTATAAAGTAAGTGATGAAAAAGCAAATGCCACAAATTTTCTTGTGGCAAACTAGTAATTGCTAATAAAATTAATCATACTTTGTTAAAACAGGGTACACATTATTAAAAAATAAGCTAACCTGTTAACCTGAAAATGAAGGTAAATATTATTTACTGAAGAACAAGGCAGTCCTGATATTCAGCACCAACCACATCTAAAGAAATAATTAATGTAGTTTGTTTGTTTTTTAATGGGAAAGCAGCTGGAGATCATAAAGTACATCTAGATGTTATTGAAAGGGCAACTGCTGAAACATTAACTAATCTTTCCAGTCTGTCTATCTTAAGTGTATTTACAAAAATATTACAAAAAATAGTAGCTATACAACACATTTATTGATATAAGTAACATTTTGTATTATTCAAATTTGAATTTCTAACTCACCATTCAACAAAACTGGCATTTGTAAAATTGATAGACAATTTAAATAAACAACATGAAAAAGAATTCAAATTCAGTAGACTTATCCTGCTATCAGCAAAATGTGACTCAAAATTTCTAAATGTTCTTTATAAATTGCTTAGTTACAATTCTCACTTGCCCATCTTTCATGTGACTTATTGCAAAAAATGTCAAGGAATCTGATATAAGAGCTCGATTTATCTGCTTAATCCTGACAACATTCTGCTGGTTTCTTTTCTTTTTTTTGATCTCGCATATGTTTTTATTTTCAATATTGAAACTATTTCTGTTACACCCAAGGGTGCTTATGTTATGTTTTTTTTGCTGTCGACTGTCAATGACACCTAACCCTACTTTTTTTTTTATACCTATGGTAGTAATGCATTAAATAGTTTTTATTTAATTAAATAATGCACCAAAGAATATAGAATAATAACATGCAAAAAACAGACAATGTTCTGTAACTACAAAACATTTTCTAGCTTTCTAATGATGCGACAAGAGCAGTTACAAATTCATCCAAGCTAGATGATATGTTTTCCATGGGAACAAAGCTTGTACTAAAAGAGAAATTGACAATTCTCTGTTCAGAAAACAACGTAATATAGTTTGCCATTTGATAGATGAAAACCTTAGCTTTCTATTGGTTATAATTAATCTAGTATTAAATGTAAGAGAGAACTGTTAAAAAATCCTGAAAGTGAGGGTGTGACAAGAGCAGTCTGATTATATGTTTGATGGCTCTGTAACCAAGCGAGATTGAAAGCTATAAAAATTATGGTTTATGTGAGTGATGCGAATTTTATAGTGAGTAATTTACACTAAATTTCATACTTATTGGAAGGGTGTTGAATAAATTAGAGAAGAGGGGATGCCTGGAGAAAAGATGTCACATTTCTCACACTAGGGGAAATTCAGGATTTATTTTAATATTGCCTTATAAAATTAAGAACTTAAAACTTATATACTATTAAAGTATGGATTATTAACTACAATTCTATGCTATACTAATTGGTATTACCTCAGATTGTAACATGAAACTACATTTGTTTACATTAACTAGTTTTAAATTCGTAACAATTTATACTCAAATTTTATTGTTTTTTTTTTGCTCTTTGAACAGTGTCCAACTAATATTGCTGCAACAAAGGTGTATATCACTTGGAAAATGTGTAGCTCATGTATACACAATTGAATTACATAATGCATGACCTACTTGTGAGTTGCTCGCGAACATGCCATGTGAAAATTTTTTATTATTACCTATGTTACTTAACTAACCTTATCTAACTTAAAATATTTCTAATTTTTACATTTTAGTTAGTTTTGTAATAATAAATAAAGAATATATATGTGATAAACAAGAAACATAGTACTTACCTGGGTCATCATCTTTTAAGCTGTTTAACTGTTGGTGAAACTTAACCCTACTTTTTTGTACTGATGGTACTACTATATTAAATAGTTTTTTATTGAATGAAATAATGCACTAAAGAACACAGAATAATAACATGCAAAAAATAGTCAGTGTCCTTTAACTCTCAACTATGTGACAAGAGCTATTAAAACTTCAGTTAAACTCATCCATGTGTTTCCATGGGAATAAAGATTGAATTGAAAGCAAATAGATAATTCTCTGTACAGCAAACAATATAAAATAATACATCATTTGATAGATTAAAACTTTGGCTTTCTATTGATTATAAATAATATAGTATTAAATATGAGAGAGAATTATTGGCAGTTTCTGAAAGAGAGGATGTACCAGGTGGGTATGACAAGTGGGGTCTGATTTTCTATTTTATGGCTCTGTAACCAAATAAAATTGAAGGCTATAAAAATTATGCTTTGTCTGAGTGATGACAACATTATAATGAGTAATTATGTAAATATAGTACTTCTTGGATAGGTAATAAATATGAGAAGAGGAGATACCTTGAGAGCAAATGTCATATTTCTGATAATAGGGGAAACTCAGGTTTTTAAAAAAATTTAGTTTTATAAAATGAAGATTAATAGCTATGTTTTTATGGTAAGTTTATTTGTATACCATAATACGAAAGTAGTTTAACCCTATGACTACCGGCTATGGGCATTACCCATAGGTAATGTTGCTCTCGTCGTATTTCGTTCCAAAAATAAAACTAGAGGATGAAATTGTTTGAAGTTTGACAAGAACTTTCCTAAAAGTTTATACTTTCAAAAGACAATTAATTTTGATTTTTAATATAATTTCTAATAAAAATTTGTTATTTATTGTAGTTATTTGCTCTCAGACTCAAAATAGTTCACCTGCAAGGTGATTTTGATGTTGAGCATAAAAATACTATTTATTTTCTTACGCTTTTCACATTTCATTTACATAATCTCTAGAACTTGCCAAATTAATATCACAAGTTTTTTCAGTTAAATATTTATATTTTGTTTTCCATTTTGTCTACCATATCACTAACTAGCTGTTGTCACAATGTACAGTGCATTGAAATGTTTAAAATTAAGAAATGAAAATATGTACTTACATTTTATCTCTTTGTTGAATAATCTTAAAATATCTTTTTTATCATATGTGTATTTCAAAGTTTTACCTTTTCACAAGTTTTTTATTTTTGATATTTTATTTTATTTTCAATTTTTTATTATTTATGTTGATGCACTTCAATAGGTTCTAGCAGGTGATATAACATTATGATTGGCAGAGAGTCCACTTTAGCCTATGGCATAATATTTGCCCTTGCCTGTTTTTATAATCCATGACCAGTGAAAATATGAGTAGAAAAAGTTAAATAATCATTAAACCTTTCAAATATGAATTTTAAAACACAAATAATATATATAATTAACTAAAATATAAAAGTAAAACCTAAATGCAATTTCACTGTCCATCAAACTAACCTGTATAAGGCAAGAAAAAATAACCAAGTGCTAGGGATGCTGCTCTCAACAATGGACAAAGATTTTTTTGACTTCTTTTGTAAAACGCGAGCCTCAATTAACTTTCCTAACCTCTTTAAGAAATACAGCATAAAATCATCTCTCTTTATTGGTTATAAGCATGGCATTCAACTTAAAACTATCACTTAGCAACACAACTTTTAATTTGCAAGTGGGCGTGGCTTATCTCCTGGACAAGTTCTTGAAGTAATGGCTGGAGACGGCTTAAATGGGTAATGAAGAAAAACTTTAATATAAGTTTAAC